GATCGGCAAAGCCCCCACGCCGAGCTCCACGACGTCTTCATTGCCGAGCTCCCAGACACGTCGCGGCCGCCCGAACTACACGACACGGGCCTCACGCCGGTCGAGATTATCTCGAAGCACTCCCACTTTGCCACCCCCGGCGCCCGCCCCTCGGGCAACCCGTCCTCCTACTACGGCTCCATCTCCGGGAACGAGGAATCCTCCATCTCCCGCTCCTCCGGCGTCCTCGGCGCCCAGTCCCGCGGCCAGTCTCCCTCCCCTGTGCCGCCGGGGCCGCCGTCTCCGCCCATCATCGGCAGCGGCGGGCGCCCCGGCGCACGGGCGAGCAACGTCTCCGGCCTCAGTGAGCCGGAGAAGAGCCACCTCAGACAGATCAGCGAAGCGACGGTCAGCTCAGCCACGTCGTCAGCGGAGAGGGTCCCGCAGGTTGCCAGGCCAGCCAAGGAGCCCGCGACGCCCACGAGCCCCGGGGCCGTCAGTCCACCGACGGGGGGCCCGGCGGAGGAGAGCGAGGACTACGTGTCGGCGAAGAGCCCGCTGCGCAGAAGCGTTTTCCAGGAGAGCGAGGAAGATCTCGGGGGCAAGAGATGAGAAGGGAATGGTGGGCTTTGATCCCACCCACAAAAATGCGCACAAGCAAGCGGCATTTGAGTATCTGATTTTCGTTTGATGAGGATTCATGTGTCTTGCAGATCTCTAGCTGAGAATACCGTCAGGGATATGTACATTGGAGTTTTCTTTTCTTCTGAAACAACATGTCCATTTCGACTCAATGCGAATGAAGTGACCGCCTGTGTATTGTTTTACTACCTACCCAGATCCGTGATTTCTGCAAGACATGACGTCCTTGGCCTTTTCGTGCCGAACCTCGCGGATTCCGACCAGAATCATCGTGACATTATTTCGCCGTGGTCAATCACGTCTACTCGTTAATGCAGGGGAGCATAAATCTGCATACATTACCAATGCATCGTTGGTTGATCACAAAAGTCTATCCCTAACACATACACCGAGTCATCCTCGGTAAACGGTGCGCAACCAGGCCTGCGATCATGCAAACTCCAATAATCTGTAAAGCCGGTCGCCGCCCGCTTTGTACAAGTGGTATCATTTCAACAGAACAAGAACCAGCAGACCCTTTTGGTCGGCCCGACCACAATGCAATCGATAATCTCGACAACTAGGAGACTTGACACCATATCAACTCGAGTGGCATTCAATACCAGTTGAGCTCATTTAGTCAGTCGGCCTCATCCAAGAGCTGATCAAGGAAGGTGCCGGGATGAGGCTCGCCGCAGCAAGGACAGATGCTGATGCTGTCCTCATCCTCTTCATCATCGTCATTCCCATTCTTATCAGCGGGTGGTTCGATGGGATACCCACTACTGCGGCAAAACTCAACCCATCTCCGCTCCCCGGAGTTGCGCGAGATTGGAACCCGCTTCCAGATGACCTTGTCCTCTCGATGAGAGGTCGGATGGCCTTCCTGGGCAGGAGCAGAAGGCATTGTGGGGATATGCGAGTGATGAGCGTCCAAGCCGGACCCGTCCAAGGCGTCAAAGTCGGTATCTTCGCTATCGCTGAGTTCATCATCGATCGGAACGGCAGATGTGCCCAGCGAACCAACCCGAAGGGACTTGTAGGCGCGGATCACTCGAGCACAGATGGGATGGCCGCTGAGTGAAAGAACCCCTCGCTTAGTCTGCACATAGGCAGGCACTCCCGTCATGTAAAGACCCTCATCCCGTAGGAGACCAGTAAGCTCGGCGGAGGCCTTGACTCCGGGGTCGTCGATGGGGAGGCCAGTCACGTAGAGTTCATTCAGGGAACATCCCAACTCATGTGAGGCCATATTGTGCATGTCGTTTCCAAACATGGGAAGTTTGTCGGCTGTAAAGTTGACCAGGTCGATATGGAGAGACTCTAGGGCAGGCAGCAGGCGAGGCCTGATCTGCTTCTTGTCGTGCTTCGGGTCGAATGGGGGACGAAGCGCCGCCAGAAAGTCAACAATCTGCGACCACGAGTAGCAGCGGAAGCCGCCGCGAGCGTAGGTCTGCTCGTTGACGCGCATGTTGACTGGTAGTTGATGGTCTTTTCTCAAGGACTGGTGATAAGTATGATGCAGGCGGTGACGACGCTTCTTGTCGTCGTAGAATTGGGCAATGATGCGGAACGTGACACCTTTGATGCCCTTTCGATGGTTCACGTCAAGCTCGGCAAAATTACGGAGGGCCTCGGGGCTGGTGAACGTGAAGGAATTATGACCCCATAGAATGCGGGTTCCTTCCGTGTGCATGGCTCTGCAGGTGGCGAGAAAATGAATGGCGATCTGGTTCCCACGTGCCTTCTCATCGGCGGTGACGGTGTCCGGCCTCAGCTTGGAGAGGGGGTCAAAGATCGAGAGGGGCGCCGTGAGTGCATACTTGAGTATGCGAAGCAGAACCTCAGTAGGCAGATATGGGTTCGTCGGGGCGGCGGCGAGAGAGCGGCGGCGGGTCATGCGCCCCGAGTTTCCATGCTTCACGGCATGAATGTGAGCTGTGGCAATGGGCGACCATGTAATGCCGTTTTCTCTGAGCAGTCGCTTGAGCCTGAGGTTCTCATCGGCCAGTATGCGGTGCTTCTGGCGGAGAGGCTGGTTGTAATAAGCTTCGGCCGTATCCTCCTTGTCCTGGGTCTCCCACGGATCGACATCCTAGGTCGAGTCAGCAAGTGCGAGCACAAAGAGGTAGGAGACAGAGCGGCAACATACCACGAAGTCCGAGTTACGTGTCATAACGTCTGGCCGAGGCGGGCAAGGCCGGCGATGGTGAACGGTCGAGCTGCAGTCGAGACGAGGGTTGGTAGCGCAGATCCTCCCCGAGAATGAGTGCTCCCAAATTGCCTCAGCCCGCTGGTCGGTCAGTTGGATCCGTCTTGACGACGTGAAATGGGAGGCAGGCGCGTTCCCAAGTATCCGGGTATCGAGGTGAGAGAGGGCTGAGAGAACTGATGCTGATTCAATGAACCAAGGTGCAGATGTGACTGCCTGTCGGAGGAGCAGCAGCAGCAGCCAGGTTGCAGGGCTGACACGAAGCAAGACCTCTCCGTCTCCAAATTGGACTGTGAAAGGCAGGCACGATATCCCGTTGTGAGGAATGACGATGAGTCGATTGGCAGTCGTGAGAGAAGCTGGACGATACGTAGATAAGAGGTACGTCCCTCAGTACGTCCCTCGGACCGTCTGCTACTCGGCAGCGTTGGCGACTGTCAGACTAGAAGGACCAAGGGCCGCGGAACGTTGTGGGTGCCCACACGTGCTGCCTGTGTGTTACAAGGAAGGCAGGCACCACGGGTAGATCCAGTTCAAACCTCGTCGAAGGAGCAACCCGCTGTTGCGCAGGGGACGGTTGGTGACAAGACAAATGCAGCGATGTCGGTCCAGACCGAAAAAGGATGACACCGATAACCGAAAACAGCGATGGTGAGAAAATCGGGGTTGGGTGGATGTGGATTGTCGGAACGTTTCGGATCGTCAGTATGGGCAGTGGACAGATGTCACGTCGAGGAGGTCCTCCTAGGAAGATGCTAGAAGATGAGTTGGGAGCAGAGAGACGACCAGCATCAGGTGAAAGGCCTCAAAGCGGGCGGGCGGGCGGTGATGGCGACGAAAGGCGGACAATAGGTGAAGGGTGTTTGACCGGCATCCGGCGTGTAGTGAGCAAGTGAGAGAGAGGGAAAGAGTGGAGGCAGGGGGCGGCACTGTGGCAGGATCACAGGAGAGTCATACCTTCTGACAAAGAAGGGGGCATCCTCGTGGAAGGAAAGAGCACAGGCACGAGCACGAGCACGAGCGCGAGCGCGAGCATCCGACTCAAAGCAGCAGCCCGCATTTTGCTCACAGACGACCAACACGGCGGATGGGAGGGCACAGGTCAAAGCTCCAGCCGTTGTTAGTGCTCACTGGCGCTGGGGTTGCCCATTCTCTAACAGCCACCAAACCGATGGCGCCGGGCCTCTGATGTGATATCCGAGCGAGGTTTGGGCCAGCGATGACGCTAAGAGGTCGTCGGGTCGGCACACAGGCGGCAGTAGTAGCAGTAGGCCGCTTCAAGCTTCCTTTGCTTGCTTTGCTTCCTTTGCTGCCCACGTCTGTCTGCAGTGAGCAAAGGGAAAGCGACAGACACGTGAGGGGCCTGGGGAACATGATTGCTGGTAGAATAGGGCGAAGGTATGTTTGCCGGTACGTTGGCCCCCCAAAGGGTGACTGACAGGTGGCCGCTTGCCGATGACTGGCGATGACCTGGTAAGCATGATGCGATGCGATGCAACGTAAAGCACAGGATGGGGAGCTGGCGGGACCCAGGAGCTTTGCTTCCGTTTGGGCTGGATGGGTGGGGGGAGGGGCAGGCGGAAGACTGATTGTCGAGCAGCAGCAGCCAGCCGATGCCGCCCACTTGCCATTCCGGCCCCAGCCATGATAGGCAGGCAGCACCAGGATACCAGGGTGAAGGAGACCCGGCAGCAGCGATGCGATGGCATCGAAAACCCCGTCGCGACACAGCTGGCTAGACCAGGCCAGGCTACCTTACCTAACTGTGGTTCAGTCTTCATTCGTTCTTCTCCTAGACGCGGGCGATCGAGACGAAACGCGAAGATCAAAGGACATCGAGCATCCGCTGCCTCTCCAGTGTTTGTTTGGACAAACCGCACCAATTGGCCATGTGCACCCAGTCTGTCTGTGCTTCCCGACCATGTTTGCCTTGACGTCATCCATCATCAGCTCTCTGCATCGTGCCCCTCCATCACTGTCTCAATACACAAGTCGATGATGAAATTCCACCCAACTGAGAGAGCAATAGCCACGCAAAACTCGTCATAGCTCGGGTACTTTCATGTGCTGGTACAACTGGGGGCGCCTCGTCGTATATAGAGGACATATTCTCCCTCCAAACGAGTACCTTTGGTTTTCCTACACATAACAGAGCCTTCGCGTTGTCACACCCAAGATCCCCATCACCATGTCTAACCAGCAATTCTCCAACGCCGACACGGGCAACCGCCCTGCCGACCCTTACAAGGATGCCAACAAGGACGAGGTGCCTCTTCAAACCAAGATTGAGGACTTGACCCAGTTCATCAATGCCACAAAGTTCGCCATGATGACCACACGTGATGCCTCGTCTGGCAACCTCGTTTCGCGCGCCATGGCACTGGCCGCCTCTGTACGTCGAGGCCTCTCAAATGATCTAGTAGTCACCCTACTGACCAGACACAGGAGGTGGGCGGTATTGATCTACTCTTCCACACCAACACCGAGTCCAACAAGACGGACGAGATCAAGAGCGACCCTCACGTCAACATCTCGTTCATCAACAGCTCAGGCGACTGGGCCTCCGTCTCGGGTGTTTCCGAGGTGGTAACCGACCGTAGTCTCGTCAAGAAGCACTACAGCTCCGAACTCAAGGCGTGGCTGGGCGACCTTGGCGATGGCAAGCACGACGGCTCGGAGAATGACCCCCGCATCGGCATCATCCGTGTCAAGACGAACACCATCACGTACGCCGTTTCTCACAAGACATTTGTCGGCAAGCTGGCGCAGGTAGCCGAGGGAATCGTCACCGGCAGCGCAGCTCAGGTAAACAAGCTCAGGGAAATTTCGTCGCACGACATTGAAAAGTGGAGGGCCTCGCAGTCCCTGGCGCAGTAATGGACAGGAGCAGCGCGGCCGCTGGATCGAGATGTATGCCCTGTACAATAAATAGCCCACCCTCCCCAGCATCATCAGATGGCCATGAGACCATGAACTCACGATGAATTAATTTTATCGCTTTCAACATTCCTACAGCTGCTTCCCGTACTCCTCGTTCCATATCCTGCTCCACGCCTCCTTGTCCACTGCGAACGCCTTGACGTAGTCGTGCTCGAGCTCGTGCGTCCTCCTGCCCAGCAACACCATGCTGTGCAGCGGCGCGCCTAGCAGCTCATCCGTGTCGCAGAGCTCCTTCAGCGTGCCGGCCACATATTTCTCCGTCCGGCCACCGACGCGCGCGGCGCCAATGGCGAGGCTGTCGGGCCCGTAGGCGCCCTCACCCTTCTCCTCCTCAATCTCGAGCATCTGGCGCGCGCACTGCCCGACGGTCATGTAGCGCGGCGGCTCGTAAACGAGGCGGCCGCGGATCATATTCTCGACGCTCTGCTCCTTGACCTTGATGTCGAGCAGCACGAGCGTGTGCAGGCCGATCTGGCGGTTCTCCTTGACGCGGTCGTAAAAGGACGCGGGCCGCCAGCTGTCGGTGAAGAAGACCATGGAGACGGTCTGGCCAAAGTTGTAGAGCTGCAGGCCGGCGGCGCCGATGCCCGACATGATGGACGCGTTGGGCACCGTGGCCACGGGGATCTCGAGCTCGCGCGCGCGCAGCACTATGTCGGTGTGGGTCGTCGCGCCAAAGGGGTCGCCGACGACGAGGAAGGCGACGTCTTCGGTCTGGGCGTCGCGGAGGATCTCGTCGCTGTTCGACTCGACCATGTCGCGGTCGGCGACGACGATGGGGCGCCCATAGTAGGCTTCCTGTTCATCTGTTCAGCGGTGCTTGGAGGCGTGGGTGGCTGCATCGGGAGGGGGGGGGGGGGGGGGGGGGC